CGCGGGGTAAAAGGAAACCTTTCTCAAGGGAACCCCCCCCCCCCTCCCCGACATATTTATCTGTGGGGGGGGGGGGGGGGGGTTGGGGGGGGGTTGTCTTTTTGTTTGTTTTTTTCTTTGCGTCACCCAATTTCTCTGTTTGCTTTGAAATGGTCTCTTGCGAGGGTGAACGCAGGTGGGGCTTTTGGGCGGCGCGCCATTTCCTCCCCCTCCCTCCTCCCTCCTCCCTCACCTTTACTACTGTAACAAGACTCGGCTTCAATCAGTAAATGTATAATAAGCGGGTACGTTTAGAATCCAGAAATGACCAGACGCAGACGCAGTTCGATCGTGCGATTGTGCAAATATAACATATTAGCCTATGTTCAGGCTCCCAATATCTTCCATCTGATCTCAGCTGAGCTGAGTATAACTGTGTTGGCGCCCTCATGTACATAGTTGAAATAGGCGAAAGGGCCGATTAAACGCCTACAATAATATATAGCCTTCGAATGTGCCATCTGCGTGTTCCAAAAGTGAAAGCGACAATTCAAAATCATGAAGAAAGATAAACTTTTATTAGCGTGTTACGGGATGAACATTATGAAACGTTATTTTGAAACAAAAGTAATCATTATACGTTACGTTTCGCTTTTGTCTTCGGCCCAACTGTGGAGTATTGTCCGCCAACAAATCTCCCTCGTCGTCACGACCCCGAGATTGTCTTTTCTCAAGAAGATTTTTTTCATTAGACCTATTAAGGCCCTTTAAATAATAACTCTTATGTCTGTCTCTTCCACAATACGTCCAAGACTATTTCCAGTCCTCCACATTCATATCACAAAGGTACCGCTAGGCTATGGTTAGTGCATATTTTGATAATTAAAGGTGCATATAGTTCTATACTTTTGAATTGTATTTATGGAAGTTGTAACGTCAGGTACACGTGTGTAATATATATATATATATAGATATATATATAGATAGATAGATAGATATATATATATATATCTCTCTCTCTCTCTCTCTCTCTCTCTCTCTCTCTCTCTCTCTATCATATATATATATATGTGGGCAATATTCTTTTAAATGAAACGTTTGAATTGTGCGGGACGCTATTCAAGCGAAGGAGCTAAAGGCCTCACAAACACACACACACACACACACACACACACACACACACACACACACACACACACACACACACACACACACATACACACTCACACACACAACACACACACACACACACACACACACACAAATAATAAATTGAACTGTGGACAGAGGAATGTACACAGTCTTGAGTTACCTGGATACCTGGGGGTGTCATTTCTGACTCAGAGGTTGACATGTCAATGACTCTCCATCCTTCACAGTCGTGAGCTAGGCTGCTGTCGTTGCCATGCACGCTCTGCCATATCCAGGCCAGTCCATATTCTTATGTTGTCCATCCATGTTATTCTTTGCCTTCATCTGGCTCTCCGGCCCCACATCTTTCCGTCAAGAACCTCTTTCACAAAGGTCTCGTGTCGTTTTACGCGGCTATGGTTTTGTATTTTTCTACATTTTATTTTATTCAGCAGGGTTTGTCTTGTGTGTAGAATCTGACACACATGCAGTGTTTGTCTTTTTTGTTTTCCAACTTATTATATTGCGGCCAATCTACAGCACCACATCTCAAACCCATTTCTTTTGTTTGATAAAATACTTTCCTTGTCAAAGTCCAGGTCTGTGCGCCATATAGGAATTACGGGGAAGATGTTGCATTCCAGCATTTTCTTTCTTAAAGTAAGAGCCTCTAGATAGTTGCCTGGATTTGAATAGTTTGTACATTTGGCCGAATCTTGTTTTTGAAGTTGCTGTTCTTACGTTTATTTCTTGTTCACTTCTTCTATATTCTGTGAAGGTTGTCCCAAGATACTTGAATTGGTGCACTTGTTCGATTCTCTCCCCATCTGTGGTTATGTCTGTTTTTTTTTGTTTTTGTGTTTTTTTGGGGGGGGGGGGGGTTGTTTGTTTGTTGTTTTTTTAAAGAAGATTTTGATAAGCCCATTGTTTTTGTATTCTTGGCGTTCATATGTCGAGGCCTGCCTTGCTGCTGTCCACAGTCTTGAGTTAATTAATGCTAATAAAAATCTAAGTGTTGTCACCGGCAGGGTTCATAGAAATAATATGTACATAATATTTCCTAATCCTATCCATTTTACCCCCCCCCCCCCCCCCCCCC